AGCCCGAGCCGGCCCGGAAGCCCCACGTGCCGGGGCGGGAGCCGCGGCCTCACGCGGAGCCACACTAACCATGGGCGCCATGGCGGCAGAGGAGGCAGAAAGGGAGCGCGGCGCACTACGCACGCGCGAAGAGCCCGCGGCGCACAGGGCACGCAAGAAGCCAGGCAGCGTGGATCGATCAGCCCAGCGTCCAGATCGCCGCTTCCCAGCCGCCCAAGCAACGATCGGCCAGCGATTGGTTTTCCCGGGGCACAGTCGGTTGCCGGGAAAGGGCGGAGTCCAGGTGGACTGTGCCACTGCGAAGGGCCGGAGGGGAGGACGGACGGACCCAACGAGGAGTAAAGGGGCGAGCGCGGCTTTTAAAGGTCTTGCGGGGGGAAAAAATCAGGACAAACGTCCCCTCTACGGGAAATTACCAGCTGGCCAGATGAGACTCCGACGCAGTGACCGAAGAGAAGAATCAGAATCCCCAGTGTCCGCCAGACCTGGCGGCTCACGGGAGGCAGAGGCAGGAGGATGGCCACGCAGGGCTACAGTTATCTGCTTACAGTAGGGAGCTCCAGGCCCACCAAGTGCTGTGCCAGGCTCGCAGAGCCCAGAGACTAACCCAAGGACTCTGATGCAAGAGCAAAAGCTTTCTTTTTGTTTCAAGCTGGCCAACTGGGATCTCACTGCACGGTGGGCAAATGAGATCCAATCAGCCAACAAGAGAAGCTTTTAAAGGGGCAGACCATAAGGTTGAAGGCCACAAATTTCAGAGTTTCCATGGTTACTTAAAGTCATACAAAGTACAGAGTTAGCAACTATACATTTTAAGGGAGATACATAAGACAGAACATGGGTTTGCAGGGTCACAGGGCCTGTCAGTGATCCCCTGGGCTGGGGGATCTTTACCACCGCAATTAGCAAAGGAATGTTAACAGGAGTGGTGGACAGTTACCTCCCCTTCTCTGAGAGCAGGGGATCAGGCGCCAGTCATGGCACTACTGATTTAAGGAGTTAAATTTTCCTTTACCATTAGAAGTTCCCATTTCAGGGCCTAAGTTTTTAAAAAAAATTTTATTTTAATTTTTGGTCCCCCACATAGTCAAACCCTTTTTAAAAAGCAAAAATAAAATAAATAAATAAAAAAAGCTCTAGTGTCATGTCTTCCTCCTAAAGAAAACGCTCCACTAGGAAGTTTATGTCACCCACGTGACTAGACTTGCTTCCGCAGCTAGAGCCCGTTGTTCAGTCTGGCGCCCTCTGCCTTCTAGGTTCCCCACCTCATGTAGCAAAGTGAGGATTGTCCTTCCAGCACCAAGAATGGCAGCTCGCAACTGTCTGTAACTCCAGTCTGAGGGGATCAGTCCCTCCTCTGGCCTTTGTTGGCACAGGGCATACAAGTAGCGCACAAACATAAATGCAGGCGAAACACCCATGTGCAAAAACATAAATAAATAAAAACTTTCTCAATGAGGCAGCAATGTACCTACGGTGGCTAATCTTGGTTGTCAAGTTGGCACACCTGGAACACGGGAGCCTCAACGGAACAACTGCCTGGTGTTCATAGGGAATTGAACTCTGGGACCCTGAATTGTGGTCACTGTACAATCCAGTTCTGTTGCCTGGGTTCCCCAAAAGCCCGGTCTTGACTTGCAGGAAACACGGTGCTGATTGGTCAGTGTCAGATGCCACCTACTCTCGCTGTTTTCTTTCCTGTTTGGTTTGATTATCTCCTCCTCCTCCTCCTCCTCCTCCTCCTCCTCCTCCTCCTCCTCCTCCTCTTTGTGGTGTGGTGTGGTTGAGACACAACCTCACTCTATATCGTCCAGACTGGCCTTTGATTCAACAATTCTCCTGCCTCATTCTCCCAAAAATTTTGAGATTACAGGCATGAACCAACATACCCAGGGGCAGCTTGTTCTTGCCTTTGCAATGCTGCGGCTGGGTGGGCTTTGCAAATCTTTCTGCTTTGGCAGCCACTCCCAATTAAGTCGTCTAAGAAATGGCTTTGAAAAATAAATGAATAAATGCTTTTTAAAAATAAGTGGCTTTGCTTCCTCCATTCTGGTTGGTGTTATCACTTGTTGCTGTATTCTGTCACCGGCAGTTGGAACACTGCAGGAGCATCAGTGATAGTCACGGTTATTTCAATACTTGCAGAGACACATCTCCCCTTCCCATCACAGCCCCCAGCTAACCAGCATCCCTCCTCAGATGTCTGCATCTCAGCTCCTCAGAAGGGCTATGGGGCATGTTCAGCCTGTGGCTCGAAGACAGCATATATTTCAGAATAGTTATTAATTCAGTCCAACACAACTGTAGACCATGGCATCATGTTGAGAGGTGTGTGTGTGTGTGTGTGTGTGTGTGTGTGTGTGTACATGCTACAGTGTGCATGAGGGGGTCAGAAGACAACTTGCAGGAGTCAGTCCTCTCCTAATGAGGAACAAGATCAAACCCGAGATAGGTTATTAACTGGTATTTTATTGGGAAATTTATACTCACATGAGGAATCAGTAACCAGATTTGGAACTTCGAGTAATCTGGTCCCAAATGCTTCCAAAATCTGGCTGAACCCCGAGAAAGATCGAGCAGCCTCCTGCCCTCTCTCTCTATCCTACCCTCTCTGTACCTGTGACCATGCCCAGCAGTACAGGTAACCAGGGTCTCCCCCTACACTCTCCTTCCCAAGAAGTCAGGCTGTCAGGTTTGCCGGGGCGGGGGGTCGGGGGGCAATTCCACACGCCTGTGGAGGGAGAGAACAAAGTTTGGGGTTCTAACCTCCCACTGTGTGGGTGCTAGAGATAAATTCAGTTTGCCGGATTCTATAACAGGTATCTTTCCCCTCTGCACCATGTTGAGAGCCATGAAAAAAAATTAAACAATCCCTTAAGTTTTCTATTAAAACTACGGACAAAAGCTGGGCATGATGGTTTACACCTGTAATCTAAGTACTCGGGAGGCTGAGGCAGGAGGATTACTACAAGTTTAAGGCTAGTTTGTCTGAGAGAGAGAGGGAATTCAACCCCGAGCTTAGGAAGGTTCAACATGTGATCTATTTAGGGCAAAGCCTCCAGCTCCAGAAGTTCCAACAGCATAGACACTCACCTGCCCAATACACTAGCAAAAGAGACAAATAATAAAGTCCATTTACTCAACATGGCCGCACTGGGAAGACAGATAAAGGAGCCAAATCTGTCTCTAAGCGGCTGACAAGAAAAGGACACAGCAGAGGGCTGGGGAATTCCAGACAGACAGAGCAGGTCACCACAGCCAGGTGGGTGGCTGACTGATGAGCACCACTGTCAATGATGAGGGACTCTGGGAAAGCCGCTGTTGTCCTGGCTTGAGAGAAGCAGTCCAGTTCCCATGAGATGACTCTGTCAGAGGTGATTTTCTTCGTGGGGTGGGGTGGGGTGATCTGACCTTCAAGGTTAACTCTTACTTGGGTGGGAAACATTTGGCCCCCTATCATAAAGGTGTTTACCAGTTTTGCTTTCTTCTGCAATCCAACTTAACTGCAGGAGAGAGAGAGGCGCTTAGGAGAAAGAAGTATGAAAGGCCAAAGGTAGAGCCAAAGGAGAACAAAATGTCATTATTTAGACCAGTCCTTCAGTGACTCCAAAATGGTTGGAAAGTGACCTGGTTCTCTTTCATGATTTTCCTTGCTGAAACACAGTCCACCTTCAGACTGCAAGGGCTGAACCACCAACACTCCAGAATGATGGGCCCTGGGCTCTGGTTTTCTTTCTTTCTTTCTTTCTTAAAAAAAAGATTAATTTATTTATTATGTATAGTGTTCTGCCTGCATGTATGCCTGCAAGCCAGAAAAAGGAACCAGTTCTCATTACAGATGGTTGTGAGCCACCATGTGGTTGCTGGGAATTGAACTCAGGACCTCTGGAAGAACAGGAGGTGCTCTTAACCACTGAGTCATCTCTCCAGCCCAGGGCTCTGGTTTTCAATAGATTTAAAAATAATAAATGCATCTTGAGCTTAGCAATTTTTTGAATTAAATTATGTGTGTGGAGAGTGTTATGACCGTGTGAGTGCATTGCTCTTGGAGACAAGAAGAGGGCATTCAGTCCCTTAGACCTGGAGTTACAGTCAATTAGGAAACATAAATAAGGTGATTTAACTAATGGGCTCTTTACAGCCTGGAATTCCCTTGATTCTCAATTACCTAAAGGATGGTTTATTATACTGATTGATTAAAAGTCTGCTATTTACTATGCCTTTACAAGAAAAGGATAGAGAAAAACTTGCATTCACAGTTCCTGTTAAAAGGTATCAGTGGAAAATTCTCTCTCAAGGAATGTTACACAGCCTCAATGTTTGTCAGTATTTTGCAAAAGAGCCATAGAAACAATTTGTAATGAGTTTCCTCAGTCTATAATTTACCATTATATGGATGATATCTCACTAGCTGATTCAAGCACAGACACTTAGAAAAACGGTTTGACAATACAAGGAACTTTTTGCCTTATTGGGGATTACACATGGCTCCTAAAAAAAAAATACAAAGAGAAGATTCTATTAATTACCTAGGATGTAAAATAGGTTTACAGAAAATTCAACCACAGAAAGTGCAAATCCGGAGAGATCAATTACAAATTCTTAATGATTTTCAAAAATTGCTGGGAGGCATTAATGACGACAGCCCAAGATTGGATTAACAACTCAAGATATACTTAATTTATTTCAAACTTTACAAGGTGATAAGGACTTAAACAGTACAAGAAAATTATCAGTGGCTGTTCTGAGAGAACTGGCTTTGGTAGAAAAACTACAGAATGTACATGTGGATTGCTTGGATCCAGAGCTCGACTGAATCCTGGTCATACTACCTCATTCTCCTACAGGAATTCTTATGCACAGACAAGATAATACCTTAGAATGGATATTTTCATCAGGCAGAGAAAAAAATTAAAGACCTATGTAGAAATTTTTTTAATTGATTCTGAAAGGAAGGAAAATTGAGTCTTTATCAATTACCAAGAATAGACCTAGCAGAAATTTTATTACCTTTCACTAAAGCTGAAATTTCCTCATTATGGGCAGAACATGAACATTGGCAAAGAGCTTGCAGTAACTTCTTGGAAATGACAGCCGCAGAGAAACATTGGATAATAGAAAAAAAAAATGCTGAACTAAATCAGCCTGAATACTGTAAGCAAGTGTTGTCCTCAGAATGGAACCCAGGGTGTGTATTACACTGGGGAAGAGGTTTTGCTTTTGTTTCCACAGGAAAAGAAAAGCTATGGATACCATCAAGATTGATACAGATTTAGATTCGAGACCTTTTGATTAGGAGAGGCAATCATTTATCAAACAGCTTGTCCATTCAACCTGCTAAGAAGGGAAACTCCTCAAAGTTAACGTTGGGACAGGGT